GGGTAGAAGGAGGGGGCACCAGAGGGAAAGTAAATAATAATGATACCAGAGAGAATGGAGATAATTGATGGAGAATGGTCCGTAGGGGACAAGGTAGGGGAAGAGACTCATTCTCTCCTCTTCTGTTCTAAGAGGAAAGGCCAGGATAGGTGAAGTGAGAACCTTACAGGTGTTAGAGAATAAGGTAGTGGGACTAAATGCCTAGTAGCATCTGTTTTCTTGATGAAGAGGATCAGAGTCCATTTTTTTGGAACTGAGAATTAGGTGGCAGAATAAGGACTTTAGGGGAAAAATAGAGGCTTAGTATAGCTCTCCAGGGAGGATGGGAAGAGCCTTTAATTGGGAAGGGGGAAAAGAATTGCACTTTTGAGTATGGCAGTGGAAAATTTAGGTATTACCTATTTCTTGGTTTGTTTGGTTTGTTTTGTTTTGTTTTGTTTTGTTTTGTTTTGTTTTGTTTTGAGACAGAGTCTCACTCTGTTGCCTGGGCTAGAGTGCCTTGGCATCAGCGTAGCTCATGGCAACCTCAAACTCCTGGGCTCAAGCGATCCTTCTGCCTCAGCCTCCCAAGTAGCTGGGACTACAGGCATGCACCACCACGCCCAGCTAATTTTTTCTCTGTATATTGTTAGTTGTCCAGCTAATTTCTTTCTATTTTTTAGTAGAGACGGGGTCTTGCTCTTGCTCAGGCTGATCTTGGACTCCTGCCTTCAAGCAATCCTCCTGCTTCAGCCTCCCAGAGTGCCAGGATTACTGGCCTGAGCCATGGCGCCCAGCCAATATTAGTTATTTCTTGAGAGTCCCAGATCAATTTCCACTTATTGGTTGTGGCACCATAGACAAGTTACCTATAATTTCTGTGCCTCAATTTCCTCATCTATGAAATAGGGGTGATATCACAGTGTTTACCTTATAGGGTTATTGCAACAATTAGATGAGATATTGCATATAGAACATTTATTAAAACATTTATCACAGGGCCTGACATATAGAGTAGATCAAGTACTGATCAAGTGTTGGCTATTGTTATTATTTTGGATGTGGGCTCCAATCCTTTTTTCTCCATCTTCTTTGTATGATGGCCCACTATAGGCTTGGGAGCTCATTATAGAAGGAAAAATTCAAATGTGAGCATTCTCCTCCTTAGGCCCACACATTCAGTCATTTATTAATTCATTTATTCAACAGATGTATTGATATATAAAATATGTAAAAAATATATTGAGCACTTGATATACTCTAGGTACTGTTTTGCATATGGGAATTAATCTGTGAAATGATCTGTAAGGTCCTTGCCACATAAATTCACACTTCAGTGAGAGAAGTTAGAAACAGGTAAGAGGACCAATGGTGGGGTGGGGGACTCTGGAAGGCCCTTACACTTTAGGGCAAGTGGAGAAAGAGAATCCAGAAAACATTATGGAGAAAGGAGTGAAACTAGGAGACATGGGTTCCATGAAATTTAAAGGAAGAGAATGAGGAAAGGAAAGGAGCCAAACAATTTTGCATGTTTTAGAAAATTCAAATAAGAAGAAAGGAATAAACCATGGTTTGGCAGCAATAACTTCATGGGTGATCTTGATGAGAGCAGAATGTAGTGAGTAAGAAATGAAGAAGTGGAGGTGAGGATATGAATGCAATGAATCATGGCTCAGAAAGGAAAGACAGAGTTTAGGGGAAGGAACCAGAGGAAGAGAGACTATGAAGATACAAGATAAAGCAAAGCAAAGCAGACAAGAGAAGTTAACAGATGTGACAGGAGAGACAGGAGGAAGCTGAGACAGGAGGAATCTTTGAGATAAGAAACAAGGGTGACCTTGAAGGTGGAGTGATCAGAAGTTATTTAGAGAATTCAAGCCTAGTCCCATTTTCCATTCTCAGTGAAACTGGAGGTGAAGTCATCTGCTAAGAGTTTGGGAGTAGTGTTGGGCAATTGACTACAAGAAATGAGTCTGAAACAGCCATATTGGGCAAGTGGAAGGGAAGATGATTAAGGATGAGAGAAAAGACTGTTGAACTGTGCTAGGACCCAAATGAAGTTTGAAAACTCCCAGGGCTAGAAGTAACTCTTTCTTATACTCCAGTTTTCTAATCCAGAAAACCCCAGACTGTATATGCTATTGCATCAGACATCTATGGCCAAGGTTATCTACACACATCCCACAGGCTGACTAAAGGGTACCAGAAGCTGATTTTGTTTTCAGGGACATCCCTAGAGATGTTGAAGTTCATAAGGGCTGCCCTACAGGCCTCAGCGTCCCCTGGTGCTTCAGCCTCTGTTTCTTCTCCCTGCTTCTAGTCTTCAGAGGACGTGTAAGGGACACATTCTATCTGGATAACCATGAGGCTCTCCTATGAGAGGTCACTCTGCCTGTGCTTGACCCTAGAATTAGAGACTATTCAGGTTTCTCTGAGATACAATTAAGGCCAGTACTCTCCTGAGTGACCCTAGGTAACTTCTGAGAAAGAGCTGAGGGATGGCAGCAGCTGAGAGCCTTAACCCTACCCATCGCCACACTGCACCTCAGGTCCTTGGGGCTAGTGCTGAGGAAAACTCACCTACCTAGTGGAGTTTAAAAGGCCTAGGCAATTCCATCAGCTTATAGAATTTAGGGTTTTCAGGAAAGTCCTGTTTGATAAGGTGACATTTGAGCAGAGGTCTGGAGGAAGTGAGGGAAGGAAAACTTGCAGATATCTGGGGGAAGAGTTGTGCAGGCTGAAGGAACAACAAGAGTCTGGGATATACATTGTTGGAAGAAATAGCAAGGAGACCAGTAGGGCTGGGTATGGTGGTCAAAAAGAGTCATAGGAAATGAGATCAGAGATATATGGGCAGGTTGGTGGGGGTGGGATGGACTGGGATAGATTGCAGATTATTATAGACTATAGTTAAGGACTTCGAATTTTACTCTGAATAAGAAGCCAGGCAGTAGGATGGTTTGGACAGACTTAGACTGATGTCTGGCTGCTATACCGAGAATTGACTGAAGTAGGATAAGGACAAGAGCAAAGACACCTGTTGGAAGCTATGGCAGTAATTCGGGTGAAAGGAAATGATGGCTTGCACTAGAGTAGTTGCAGTGAAGGTGCTGAGAAGTGGCAAGATTCAGAGTATATCTTGGAGGCAGGCTGATCAGATGTGCTGATGGATTGGATGTGAGATGTGAGAAAAAAATGAGGTGAGGATTATTTCAATGTTTTTGGCCTCATGGATTATTGTGAGAATGAAAAATGAATTAATCCATATAAAACATTTGGAACAATGCCTGGCAAGTGTTCAGTGAAGGGCAGCTATTATTATAATATTATTGGACAAGTTATGGTAGAGGGCAGTAGCTTCATATTTGCTGCTTATAGTCATTTTACAAATAATCAGGCAACAGCTGTGGACTCTGAGATTTCCCTGATACCTCTAGCTCAAGTTTCCACCCATACTTCCAGTCAGAATCATGGAGTACAAGGAGCCTCTTCATCTATAAAGTGGGGATAATAATTCCTACCATATAGGACTGTTGTTAGCTATAAAGGGGCACATTTGCATGATTTACAGATGCTCAGTAAATGTTGTTCCTGTCCACTTTCAAGACCCTTTCTACTGAATATATGGTCTGTGGCCCAGCAGCATCAGTATCACTTGAAAGCTTTGTTAGAGTCTCGACCCTGCACCAGAGTTATTAAATCAGAATTTGTGTTTTAACAGGATCCCTAGGTGATTTGTGTGCACATTAATGTGTGAGAAGTACTGCTCTACAGTTTTGAGGTCTAGTCCAACAACCTCTTCAGGTTACAGATGCAGAAAGGAAGGCTAAGAGACAGGAAGAGACTTAGCTGACTTTACACATATAGTTAGTTTTGCCAAGACTCCTAAATCCCAAGCTAGGATTCTTTCTACTACACTAGAGTTTCAGGACTGTCTGTAACCCAGCCTCTCTGGGAGGCGCAAGATAGAGGAAATGCAGAGGACCCCTCATCTAGGAAAGGACAGGGTACATAGGGTAGGTATTTTTATTTTAATCTCACAGATGATGTCAGGGTGCCCTAAAGTGCATTTATTTCTTTTATTTAATAAACAATTGTATGCTACTTACTATGTCCCAGAAAGTATTCTAAGTTCCTATACATATTAACATTATTTTGTGTATCCATTCATGTAATCTTCAAAATAATCCTATGAGGAAGGGAGTATTATTGTCCCCATTTTACAGAAGAGAACACTGAACCACAAAGTGGTTAAGTAACTTGCCACAGGACACACAGCTAGTAAGGGGCATATTGCTTGGTCTCCTCCGTCATACCTTGGCTCAAGCTTTTCTCTCTCTACATACATAATGCTATTTGCTCTTCCTCCTTTTTTTTAACCCTCCCAATCTATTGAAGAGCATTTGCCTTTTCTGGCTGTATACTGTCTGTCTTATTTCCCCAACTCCTCTGCCTGTTCTTCAAGGTCAGGGACTAGTAACATTTCAGGGCTTCCCTACTGTTGCCTCTGAGATCATAGGTTCATAAACTCCCAAAGTGTCATTACTGGAAGGGCCCTTAGAGACTAGGTAGTCCAATCCCCTTCTTGCACAGACAGAGACTTGGGGACTCACAGATGGTGAGGAGCTGGCTCAAGGTCAGAGCCAAGTCCAGAATCTAGTTTTCCTTTATTTTTAGTAATCGTTTCTCCACTTCATGTCTCCTCTCCTCTCCTAGCAAAAGCCGACCACTCTGAATGAGGGAGTATTGGGGGGAAAAGAAAGGACAGGGCCAGAGATGGAAAGTGGCTTCTCCATGTGTCTGAAAACCCTTACTTTTCCAACTCTAATTTTCCCCGTCAAACTCCAGGCTTGCTAACAAATGCACAAAACTTTGATCAGCTGAACTGCATTCAGCTGTGAGTCACAAAACACGGAATCTGCACAGTGCTTTCCACCGCTTGACCCTCCCTCTGTTCCCACAAACTGGGCCGGGTCAGAATCTTCTCACCCCCTCTTCAGTCCCCGGAGCTTTGCAGCTCCTGCCATACCAGTGGCTTGGTCACTGTTTACCCTCCAGCCTCACAGTGTCGCTCTCAGAGGCGGGATTTGTTTGCATAGCTACGCCTAGAAACTCGAGGAGTCCAATAGCTGCTGCAGAAACCTCGAGGGGGCGGGGGAAGTAGGCGTTGCTTGAAAGGAATAGAGGGTGGGTTTAGGCTGTTTTTGCTACATGTGGATGTGAAATGATTAGAGTGCGACTTTGATTGCAACGTATTTTATCGGCTGTGAATGTGGTATGCTGGCTGGGGACTGATAGCGTGGGGTAGGGCGCTGGGTGGCATGTCTGCTCTGCGCTGAGGTGTGTTTGCCTGGGAATCCCGTTGTTGAGACACGATCCATCCATTCATCCGTTACAAGGTAAGTGTGGGAACACCCCATGGCAGGCAAGGCGGCTGGGACCTGCGGCACCTAAGGGTGGAAGTACAATATCGGGTCAGGATAACCCTGCTAGGGTGCTACAAAGTCAGAATGGCTGGAAAGGTGCCCCTGGACATCTGTGGGTCCATCGATTTCTGCCTGTAGAGTACTGTCTGAGGTGCCAGCGACCTAAGCTGATATTCCCTAGGGTCTTGGCAAGCCAGTTCCTGCCTGTGTAGGCTATTACTGGACCCGGATGGCCTCTGGGAACATGCCCAGACATGTCCATCCACCTTGAGCATCTGGGGTTGGAAGATAAGCAAGAGAAGGAGGCTGGGAATTGGGGGAGGAGAGTAGGGAGTGGATCAGACATGTGGAGCATCCAGAGGGAAACAGAACTGCTGACCCACCCACGTGGCTCCTGGGCAAGTCAGGGCTTGTGTAAAGAGCACGCTGGCTCTGTTTGGGGACCTCCAGTCTACTCCCTCACCCGCCCGGCTGGGTTTCACTTGATCCCTCACTCCTGGAAGCTGAGCCCAGGGCAGTGATATTTTGATCCTGCCTGACCCCAAACACTGGCCAAGACCCAGGCAGCTGTGAGAACTGGGGGACAAGAAGAGACCCGCCAGAGCCGAGCTGGGAAAATAGAGACTGCAGAGTCTGATTTGGATAAGTGTTGGCAGCACTGATCAATGACATGCAGGGTGGCTGGGGCAGGACAGTGTGGAGCATCTCGCCTAGGTGACTCCCCTGTCCTCCCTCCTCCCCAACATACCTTCAATTCAACTTGACTCACTGACCACCTACTCTGTGCTACCATGTGTGAGACAGTGAGATGCTTAAGACATAGGCTGTTCCCACTGGGGCTTGACAGTCTCAACATGGGTATAAGAATACCAATAAATATAACACAAGATAGGTTTATAAAGGTTCAATCAAAATGCTCTGAAGTTGTTAAGGATTATATCAAGTGGAGCCAGACAAAGTCACAAAAGGTATTTTAATTGTTCTTTGAAATTGTAAACTTTCAGGGCTCCAGAGCCAGACTACTTGAATTCAGATTCCATCCCTACCGTTTATTAACTTGTCTGACCTTGGACAAATAGAATTATTTCCCCCTCTCTGAGCTTCCATTAACTCCAGGCTAAAGTGGAGATAATAATAGCACCTACCTCATAGGGTTGTTGTGAGGATTCAATGAGATAATCCATATAAAATACTTTCACACACTTAGCGCAGTGGCTGGCCCAAAATAAGCACTCAATAAATGTTAACTATTATTATTTAAGATAGACCATTGAGCACAGATAGGATTTCAACAGGTGGAGATAGGAGAGAAGGCAGTTTAAGCAGAGAAAACAACAGGAACAACTGCTTGAAGGCAGGGAAGCTCAGGGTGTGAGAAAAGAACACCAGCTGAGCTGGATTTTAGAGCATCATTGGAGGAAAAGTGGAAGTTAAAGTTACCATGGTAGATTGGTGGTAAACCACAAAAGACTTTGGATGCTACAGTTTCTCTTTGATCTGGAAAGCCATTGAAAGTTCCTCAGCCAAAGAAAAAATCAGATCTGTACTTCAGAGCGAATAATCTGGTAATCATGAGTCAGCCAGATTGGAATAGGGACACACAAGACGTGGATAAAGTAGATATAGAGAGGGGAGAAGGTCCTAGGACTGAGGTGGTGGCTGTGGGAATAGAAAGTTGAAACTGGTAAGTTATATTAGATTGAAAAAGGAGGAATAAGAGAGTCAGAATCTCTAGGGATTGTCTTAGATCTTAAAAGGTTGTGCATTCCCATCCTCCTTCTGAAAATGATGCAATAGAAAGGATATTTGCCTTTTGAGTTGGACACAGCTATTTTCTCAAGTCCTGGGCCTGCTACTTAACCTGTTGTTTGTGATCCTAAGCACATTATGCACCTTAAATTCCCAACTAGGATCAGTATTTCCACAGGATATTTAGAAATATGTGTGGAGGATATGGTGTATTTTTTTACACAAGGATTGAGGTACTACTGCATTTAGTGCCAATCAGTTTGATGCAGCAAAGAGATATTCCTCCCACCCAACTATATAATACCAGTAGTAAGCCCAGTGAGAAATACTGAACTTTGAGCCTCAGTTTCCTACCCTGGAAAGGAGGGAGAATAGTACCTCATTATAGTGTTGTTGGGAGGATTAAAAGACATAGTCCCTACAAAGGATCTAGCACACTGACACATAGTAGTATATCAGTAATCATAATTTTATTTTACCCCAATTGAGTTCACCTTAAAACATCCTTGCTAGTCTCTCTGCCTGAACACTTCTAGAGGTAGGATCCTTACTGTTCTCTGAGTTTATTTCCTTCAAGGAAAGCCTTGAGTATTAAAAGTTCTTCCTTTTGTTAAGCTGAGCTTAATTTCCCTATAGTTTTCACCCAGATGTCCTGGTTATTCTCCTGGGGCCACCCAGAACAATCTGCTCTATTTCTTCTATTATAGTCCTTCAGAGATCTGAAGACCAGAGCCCAGATTTCCCTGCATCTTCTGTTCCCAGGTCAAACAGCTCAGCTACATCTACCATGTCTCATATGGCATGGTGTCAAGTCAAATATAACTCTGAGGTTTTGACCTATACAAATTGGGGTGATGGGGGTACCTTCATAGTGATGAGGAACACTGCAAAAGGAACAGCATGGGTAAATGTGACAAATTTCTTTGTAATTTACTATTTCCTAATCACTTTTCCCACTGTGTGGCAAGTATTTTCAAACCTATTATCCTAATGACTGTTAATCTAACTAGGGAATGTGCAGATCTTCTTGTTTTAATTGTACAACTGGCCAAAGAGGCCAAGAGAAAATGAAACTTTCCAGAGATTGTTTAGTAAGTGTCTGAGCCAGAATTGGAAGCCAGATTTTTCTTACTCCAAGTTCAGTGTGTTTTTTTCTATTTCCATGGCATTTTGGCTTTAAGGTGGTAGCTAGGCAATTAGGCCAACTCTGGCACTAGGGAAGGAGAGAAGGAATTACCTTATTGAAGTTATTCTTTCTTTGAAAGAATTCCTCTCTTCAGATATCTTTTAGTTGTTTTGTTTTGGGACAGGGTCTCACTCTGTTGCCCAGACAGGAGTGCAGTGGTATGATCATGGCTCACTGCAAACTCAGATTACTGGGTTCAAATAATCCTCCTGCCTCAGTCTCCCGTGTAGCTGGGACTACAAGTGTGCGCCACAATACCTGGCTAACTTTAATTTTTTAAGAGATGGGGTCTTGCTGTGTTTTTCAGGCTGGTCTCGAACTCCTGGCCTCAAGCGATCCTCCCACCTCAGCCTCCCAAAGTGCTAGGATTACAGGCGTGAGCCACCAGCACCGGACTTAAATGTCTTCTTGACCTGCTCCACTTGAATGCCTCCTGCAGAATGTGAGGCATCTTTTAGAGCCATCCCTCAGAGCTTGATATTGAAGCAGAAGCTGTTTTTCTCTGCTTTCTTTCTAGATACTGGTTTCATCCATGTATTTCTACCCTGGGAGCTTAACAGGAAGAATGTAGGTCAGTTTCACTATCAGTGTGTTAAATGGAAGGACAGTTATTATTCTGTGCTAATAGGAGATATGAGGCTGGCTGTAGCCTATCTTGGATTAGAGCTAACTGTATAGATTTTCTGTGTCCCCGACCAGACCATGATCCCCTAAAGGTAGAGAATATATTTTATTCACCTCTGGTTTTCCTTCTTGCCATTAAATCCTAACAGAATGCCTAGCATAGAACATTCTTGTCAAGTGGTCTTGGAGTGACCAAAAATTCATCTTTCCCATCCTGGGGTGATAACAGTTATGATATCCCCCCAGGTATCCCAAAATACATCATTCTATTATCAAAAATAAAGGAATTAACATGCAATATATGGTGAAATCAAACAGTAAGATGTCATTACTTCCAAGAGGTTGTTACTCACTATTATGCATAGACCAAAAAGAATGAGCAACACTATTTTCCTTCCATGAGCCATCTCTCCCTGACTCAGCCCACTGTTTGGAATTATTCCTGGTGAGGATAAAATGAGCCAATATTGGGCTGTGGGAGTTAGGAAAAAAGAAGCTGGAGGCTTGGCAATATAGTCACTGAGTAATCAGTCCTATATGGAAAATAAGCCACTGAGCCCTGAATATAGAGACTTGAATTCTAGTCCAAGCTCTGCCACTGAACAACTATGTGACCTTGGAAAAATTTTATCCCTTCTCTGAGCCTCAATTTCCTCATCTGTATCATTAGGGAATGGGGTTATGTTGTCTTGAAGATCTTTTTGGGATTCTATGTGGGAGTCAATTATCTGATGGTGTCAAGTCTTAACCAGTTGCCAAAGAGGAGAAGAAAATAAAGTATAATGGAATGTGATGTCTTGTGAGTACTGAGGTGCCTGTTACTAAAGGAGTTCAGGTAGAGCTGGATGGTATTTCTTCACTGGGTAACAGGCAGCTGAGACTAAGATGAGTTTTAAACTCCCTTTTGACTCTAAGATTGTCAGAGTCTGAAAATGGTCTCACAGAGTGTGCATTACATATGACATCATAGGCTTCTTGTTATCAGTTTCACCTTCCCTCCACAACTCTGCAAAATCCTATACCTTTCTTCCTTTTGTTGGGCAACCTAGAAAAAAAAACAAGAAATATTTTGGCAGCAGTATCTCATCCTGTATATACAGGCCTCATTCTATGAGCTGATTCAGTCCTTTTGTAAGGATATAGCCCTGGGCTGTGCTTGCAAATGCCCACTGGTTTTTATCCCTGCTCCTTTAGGATATTTTATTCCCTGAACTATGAGGACGCTATGGAGTACTTAATAGTATTTGGATTGCTATGAGAAAAAAGGGACTGTTCTTATTGGCATTTTCAGAGAGATATAGCTATTACAGATTGCTTGGTAAATTGGACAGCATGGAGAGAATGGGGGGCAAGACCAAGAAATATTTATAGAAATAAAAAATTAGAGCACTTGACTGAATTTTATCCTGTTCCCAGCCCTGCAAATAAATCATACCATAAATTCATTTCCCAGTATGACTAGAGTGACAGCAGAGCAAAATAGAGACTTTGGCTGAGTGTTGGTCTGGCCTGTGGCTTGTCTCCAATGCCCTTTGTTTCCCAGCTCTGGGTGGGATAGTAACAATAATCATAGCAACCTCTCACATGTGTAGCACAATCTGGAGTTTCCAGAGTATCCTCACATACATTATCTCATTTTTCCTTTGAACATCATCCAGGTAGTTTCTGTGCTGTTGCTCCCACTTGGGAAGATTGTTTCAGCAATCATTTAAAGGATCCTTTCTCCTCAAAAATCAGTCCAAATATTTGCTGGTCTTAATTTCATCCCCCCCTTTTAAAATTATACCTCTATTATTGTCTACACAGTTCCTTTCTCCTTCTCTTTAACAATTATTTTTCAGCAGTTTCCAGATACTAACCAAATATTTCTATTTTTTAGCTTTTTCTCCTACTCAATTTATAGTTTTGTAAATTATATTTGTCTTTTGAGTTTCTGATTTGTTTGTTGTGAGTGTGTGTGCATACACACACATATTTTGAAGGACAAAGAATTTGACTCAAATGGTTAACATATGCTTTTGGCTGAGTGGAAGTGGCTGAGTTCAATTGGTTATTAATTCTATTTGTGCAGTGACAAAAGCTTTTAATAAGATTTTTTTTTCTTTTTCTACCCCAGCTGGGGCATTGCCTCTCGCACTGTGCATTGGAATAAAGGACAAGGTAAATAGGTGAGGCTTCTTTAATTTTACACAACTTCCTTCATTCTCCCTTGTTGATATGCTAATCCTGACATTGCTGGACCAGATGTTGCTATCACTAACAGTTAAAATTCTTTAGCCACTTTGGAATGAAGAGATAAGACCCATAAAAACTGTAGTAACCACCAGTGGTCTCTGAGTTATTTCTATTCTAGGCAGATATTTTAGCATACTTGAACATAAAAAGATAATTTACTTTTATTACATGTCCATGAAATAAAATCAAAATAATGTATCCCTAGTCCTAACCCTTCTCCACCTCCCTGTATTAACAGCTGACACTATCGCTCACCCCTTATTTCTTAAAACATTATCCTTTACTACCCTATCCAGGGTCTATTCTTTCTTCCCTGGCTTCCCCTTGGTTGCTGCTGCCTATTCTTCCTCCTCCATTTTCAAATATGGGTGTCCCCCAAAGTTTTGTTCTTGGCATTCTTTACCCATCTGAGTCTGTGTCATGATTTACCTAGGTCAGTATTTCTCAACACTCCCCCAGAGGTTTTTATTTAGTTAGTCTAGGGCATAGATATTTTTTAAGTACCCCAGATGATTCTGATGTGCAGCCATGAGCAAGAATTGCTTTTCTGGTTTTTTTTTGTTTGTTTGTTTTTCATGCATTCATCTCATCTCCAACTCCAACTTATGTTCTGCATATTATGATTGCCTGCTTGGCATGACCACTGAATATGTTACTCTGTCTCCTCCAAATCTCCATACTCAAAATGATTAAAAAATAGTACATATTTTTTTCTACCAACAAACTCCCCTTTTACTCTTCATGTCCTTAGTGTTCTTCTAGTTTCCCAGGCAAGAACTTTCAGAGTCCTCTCTGACTTGTGTCTTTCTCTTTGCCTTCACTTTGTAAGGTCTGTATCTCCTACCATCACTTCCTCGCTATTCCTATTGTAACCACCTTTGTCCTGGTCCTTATCTCCTAAGGCTTGGGCAGTAACCCTGTCAAACCATTAAAGCACAATCAAGTTAACTTTCAGAAAATGCTTTTTTCCCACTTAAAATATTACTGAAGAAAAATAAAATTTCAGTGAAGTCTGGGAGGATCTCCATTCCCTATTTTAGCATTCAGTACTGCCTTACAAAGCATTACAGACTTATGGGTCCTAAATTACCTTTGAATTCTGGCTTTGTTTCTTACTAGCTAAATAAATTTAGGGGGATCCTTTCTATCTGAGCCTCAATTTTTAAAAATATGTTAATTGATTATAATAATCCCTAGCTTCCTCCTAAAGTTATTGTGAGGATCTACTGGGCTAATTGATAGAAATTCCTTTACAAATTGTGAAGACTTTCATTCAGGCAAAGATTATTACCATTATTCTGTAAGTTATTTTTACCATTCAGTCATCCAACACATATTTATTTAGTGCCTACTATGTTCCAGGGACTGGGAATGAATTAATAAACACAATAGGCATTGTGGTTTCATGGTGCTTATATTCTAGTTGGGGAGGGGACAGGAAATAAAGAAGCAAATAAGTAAGATACATGATATATCGGAGGCCTTAAGTGCTATGGAGAAGAATAAAACAGGAAAGGGGGATAGGTGGTATGGAGGAAAGGTACAATTTTGAAAGAGTAATCAGAGTAGCCTTACTAAGAAGATGATATAAAAACAAAGACCTGAAAATGAGGGAGGTAGTCATGTGGATTTCTGGGGAAGAACATATTTGGGAACAGCAGCTGTGAAGACCTTAAGATGAGAGCATTCCTGGTTAGTTTGAAGAATAGCAAGGAGGCTGGTATGGCTAGAGTGAAGTTAATAAGGAAAAGAGTAGTAGAGCACAAGGCCAAAGAGATAATTGGAGAAGTTGAGGTAGGAAGATCATCTAAGGCCTCACTGGCCATTATAAGGACTTAAGTTTGTTTTGTTTTTACATATGCATGCTTTATAATATACCATACATCACTGTGCACATTTTATGATTGTATTTACCTATTCTTCTGTAGGGTGATGTCCAAAGCTACGTAGGATGTAAATTTTATTATGAGTGAAAGATGGAGCCATCGATGGATTTTGAGGCTGGAAATGACATGATCTAACGTGTTTTAAAAGAATAACCCCACCATCAGCTTCTTTATGTTTATCCCCTATTCTTCCTAGAAAAAAATGTGCAGACCCCAAGTTACTTCCTCATCAGATTCCCTCTGAATATGAGAGGGATAGAAAAACTTTTTCTGACTGTATCTTATATTTAGGTGAAACAGACGCAGCCAGACCCAAAAGAGCCCCTCAGAACAGTGATTTTCAGCATTGGCTGCACATGAAAATCAATTGGTAACTGCAAAAATTTTATGTGTTCAGGCCACACCTGTGACTAATTTAATACAGAATCTCAGGTGTGGCACCAGGTATCAGTATATTTTGTAGCCTCCAAGGTACAGTCAAGACTGAGAAGCACTGGTCTAAGAGATTGGCAAAACCAACTTCCTAATGGTACGAAGGGGGACCTTGTGTCTAGCATTGGGAAGGGATGTGCTCGTGATGGCAGAGCTGGGCCTAGGACCGTTCACCATACGGAGCTAAAACAGGAAATGAAAAATTCACAAATAGTGGGCAGGAGGAAGATATGATGTTTGATAGTTTGGAAGGATGTTATGGGAAAGAGAAAGCTTCATTTTCAAGAAAGGAGTGCTATTGAGGCTAGGCTGAGCAGCAACTGCTTTGATTTTTGCCAGTACTATGCACGTGGGTGGGTGGGCTCCGAGGAGAGGAATGGTCAGGGCATGAACCAGCTGCTATCTTCCTTACCCTTTTTAATCCCACACCTCCTGCACTGTCCAGGGAAAGCAAATATCCTGAAGTCCTGAGTTCTTAATTTAGATTTGTCATCCTGTCATGCCTACCCATACTAGAGAGTGAGAGCATGTTTCACCCCACAGGCATGCGTGCAAGTTGAGAAGAGCAGCAGCCGCAAGTTGCGGCCAGAGGCAGCTGCACCCCCAGCAGCCCGAGTACCTCACATCCAGCAGAAACTTGGCTAATATCAATCATTCGGGGCACAATGAGCTAATGTGGGGATTACTGTTAAAGTCAGCCTCTTTGCTTCTCTTCTTCCCTGTATGCCTGCATTCTTACACTTTTAAGTTATTTCTTAGGGAAGCAGGACTGGGGAATGGGCAAAAAGAGCAGTTACATGACAGAGACAGGCCAAATAAGGAGACACTCTAGTCATTTTACCACTTTTCAGCCCCTCTGGTTAAACCCAATAAATATATATACAGCACTTACTGAATAGGTTAGGTGAAACAAATCATAGTTGGAGGTTTATATAATAATATCCTTAGCAGCTTTAAAAATTTGTTATTTGAGAGCTAACTTAGGCAATATCTATTGAAATAATGTAGGGTAGTTCACAGTATTAAAGAAAAAGCTGAAGAACCATATTTTATCAAATTGTTTTCATCGCTCAACACCTAAGTGGACATATAGGAATAACATTTATCGGGTGTCGGGCAGGTGGGAGGGGGGAGAAGGGGATGGGTGTATACATACACAATGAGTGCTATGTGTACCATCTAGGGGATGGACACGCTTGAAGCTCTGATGGGGGGAAGGGGGGGAAAGGTAACACATAATCTAAACATTTGTACCCCTATAATATGCTGAAATAAAAAATTAAATAAATTTTTAAAATGAGATATAGTTTACGTAGCTTAAAATTCACTCTTTTAAAGTGTATAATTCACTGGTGGTTTTTAGTATGTTCACAAAGTTATACAAACATTACTGCTATTTAATTCCAGACGATTTTCATCACCCCAAAAGAAGCTCATACCCACGAACCAGTCACTCCCCATTTCCCCTTCCCCCACCCCTTGGCAACCACTAAATCTACTTTCTGTCTCGATGGATTGCCTATTCTGGGTATTTTATGTAAATGTAATCATACAGTATTTGACCTTTTGTGTCTGGCTTCTTTCACTTGGCATAATGTTTTCATGGCTCATACATGATACCTAATATTTTAAGTACTTTGTTCCTTTTTCTGGCTGAACAATATTTCATTGTATGAAGAGACTGCATTTTGTATATACACTCATCAATTGATGGACATTTGGGTTTTTTCTACTTTTTGGCTGTTGTGAATAATGCTGCTAAAGTCATTCATCTACTTTTTTTGTGTGTGTGGACACATGTTTTCAATTGTCTAGGAGTGAAATTGCTGGATTATGTGGTAACTCTATGTTTGACGTTTTGAGGAACTGCCAGACTGTTTCACAAAGGAGCTGCACCATTTTACATTAGCAGCATTATTCGTAACAGCCAAAACGTAGGAAAAAAACAATATATGAGAGTTCTAATTTTTCTATATCCTTGACAACACTTGATTGCCCATATTTTTATTATAGCCACACTAGTGGGTGTAAATGGTATTTCACTGGGATTTTGATTTGCATTCCCTTTATTGCTAATGACGCTGAGCATATTTTCATGTGTTTATTGGCTATTTGTATATCTTCTTGGGGTAATATCTACTCAAATACTTTACCCATTTTAAATTAGGTTGTCTTTTTATTTTTGAGTTGTAAGAGTTCTCTGTTTTTTAAGTACAAGTCTCTTATCAGATATATGACTTATACATTTTTATCTCACATTATGTGGGTTCTTTTAATTTTTTAAATAGTGTATTTTGAAGCACAAAAGTTTTTATTTTTAATTTTTAAATTTAAGTGCCCTTTATCTTTTTTTTTTTTCTTTCGTTGCTTGGATTTTTGGTGTTGCACCCAAGAAACCATTGTTTAACCTAATGTCACAAAGATTTACACATATTTTTAAGGAAAAACTTAAAAATTATAGAATTTTTATGTTTTCTCATAAGAAAACTTTTATAAGCATTTTATAGTTTTAGCTCTCTCATTTAGGGCTTTAGCCTATCTTGAGTTAATTTGTATATGATGGGAGGCAGAGGTCCAATTTGATTCTTTTGCATGTGGACATACAGTTGCCCCAACATCATTTTTTGAAAAGACTATTCTATTCCCATTGAACTGTCTTGGCATTCTTTAAAAATCAATTGGCCATAGTATAGCAACTTTATTTATAATGATCCCAAATTAAAAACAGCTCAATGTCCATCAAGAAAAAAAATGTATAAATTGTGAAATATCCATACAATGGGTACTACACGGCAATGGTAATGCACAAAAGTTGCTACACACATGTAATGGATGAATATCACAGACATTATATTGAGCAAAAGAAGCCAGAAACAAAAAAGTGCATCTTGTATGATTCCAGTTTATATTAATTTAAGGACAAGTAAAACTAATCATTGTGATAGAAGCAAGAGTTGCAATTACCTGGGGAAGGGATGGTATTGACTGAGAGGGTGCATGGGGGAGATTGCTGAGGTAATGGAAAGGTTCTGTATCTTTATCTGGGTGGTGTTTATATCAGTATATACATATGTAAGAATTTATCGATTCACTTAATCTTTGTGTTCCCTCCTGTGTATTTGTTGTACTTCAATAAAAAATAAACAAAGAAACAAAAAAACCCAGCATGAGACCTACATGAGTTTTTAGAGCACTTTATATTACCTTATCTGATGCCCAAACTACTCCTAAGAGTTACACAGGACAGATATTCTCTGGGCAAGTTGGACAAGTTGGAGGCAGTATTTGAGGGTGTTGCCTGCAAATACTACAACTGTGTGGTTGGAGGGCTTTGGCAGAAGCAGAACCCCATTATGTGCTACATTCTAGAGTATGGAGACAAGGGGAACCCAACCACTTCCTTCTTTTATTTCTTTTGCACTTCTGTTTCAAAGGCAATTGTCTCAGAAAAGCTTCCAAACCTTTGTCAACTGAGTTTATCATATATAGGAATACTTGAACATCCAGCAAACAATGAGAACAATGTTTCTTTGAGCCAAGGTAGCATACTCAGTTTTACTCTTACTGATGGTGTTGTAGGAAATCCTGTCCTTAAGCTTCAGGTCACTGGTGGCTGCAGTTCATGAGGAACTGTAGTGGTGCCACATCTTAAATATGATCTTTATGCTCCAGCTGGAGTGAGTCTATGAAGAAGCTTTTCACTTTTCTTCCCCATAAATCCCAAGAGTGACAAGTGTGCCCTCTTTTTAGTGTATTCCCCACTCTCCTGAAGAGGAGAAGGGAAAGGACCCTGCTAAACCAGAGGAATGGGAAAGGAAGATACTAATTACCAAGTGTCTCATAAGTATTAAGCCCTATACTAGGTTCTTCGACATGTATTATCATATTAGATTCTGTAAATTAATTCTATAAATCCTCCTACCTGAATAAGATAGGCATTATTAAAAATCTCCATTTTGCAGATGAGGAAACTAATGCTGAGAAAGGTAAAATCATTTGATTAATGACACACAACTAGTAAGTTATGGAGTTAAGATTCAACCCCAGTCTATATGTTCCTAAGACCTTCACTGTTTCTTTAATGTGGAGTTACTATCATTGTTTGGAAAATCATTATGTGAGAGAGAAATAATCTAGGTGGCTACACTATTTAATATGGTTAACTATGTATAATTAACCATAGTCCAGGCAACATAGTATGTTGACAAGCTAACAAAAGTATTCTCTGTGCCATGTGCAAGGCTAGGCACTGAATATGCAGTGGTCTCTAGAGAATTTTATAGATCTGTCTCCATTGCCAACTTAACCAGCAGTTTGGGAAGATTCAGCCATATCCTCTGTGATACTTTAGAAGAGTATTAGCTTCAGTAATGGGACACCTTAGAGTAGCTCTAATTTTCTCAAAACCTAATTATTCTTCCTTATAGTCTGTTAAAATAAAAAGGCAGTTACATCTACTACAGATCACTGCTGACCACAGGGAAAAATAAGGTCTGACTTTGTCCCTGGATAATGACATTTAACTCTTATTAGGCAGTTTTACTCATATGTCCTGACTTCTTCAGAATACTCTAGAGTCAGTGACTTTGTTTTCTTTAATAAAGGAAATTTGTTAAGCTTCTAATTTAATAGATAATTTAATTTGTATGCTTTGGATAAACAGTATGACAAAAAAGAAAGAAAAAGAAGCCCTCTGTTTATTCCCTAGGTGCTGATATGGGGATTTGGCAATAAGCCTGCCTTGACTAAACAAAGGTTTCAAAGCCATGGTTAGAGGGATATGTTGGGGTTCATGCCACGTGATGTTTATCTTACGGGTAGGGCAGTAGAAACCACATGAAATAGGGTGTCTTAGACCCTCAAAGGCCAGCAACAGCTGCCATGGAGATTTTAGTTGCCTGTGTCACAAGCTTATCTCAAGAGGAGGGCTGCTGTTTAGCTTCTGCCTATATTTTTCTGTTTTTATGGACAAAAAAAGGATACAAGAGAGTTGTCCAGACCAGTATGCTGGCCCTGTTCCCATGATGCTGAATTCTCCTTTCATGAGGGCTATGAGACCACTGATGGTTTTTATATTCAGTGAGAAGGGTGAATATCAAGGGGAAGGGAGTATGTCTACTGAGGCTAACACTATGGGCCAGTAATCAAAACAACACAAGAGGGAGTGTCCTTAGCTTGTGCAAAAATGGATTTTGTAGCCCAGTATCCTCTGAATGAAGGAATGAGAAAAAATGGCCCAGGTAATGGTGGGAAAGGTGCACTTATGTGAGAATGACAGCCGGGATGACTTACCCCATCTCCATTAGGGACTTTTCAGTAGAGGAGGCCGCTTGAGGTACACACTCTCCTCTCTTCTGGTTGGAAGTACACATTGAGAACTTTCAGTACTTATAGAAACCACTTGACAGCTGCTCTGGTATGGGGTCATAAGTGAGTAAAATAATCTCACCCTGCCTTTCTCTTTTAGCAAGACAAGACCCATCTATCAATTACTTAGGCCTCCTTCATTAAAATTCTTCTTTGCGGAAGACTACTTCTCTGCATACTTAACTCTATCTTATTTTGAATAGCTCTTCAGAGCCTTCAGAACAGTGTGATAAACCTTAGCTAGTTTAATCCTCCCAAGAGCTGTATAAGGTAGGTGAAGAATATATTGTCCCTTTTTCTCAGATTAAGTAACTAAGACCAGAAAAGATAAATTCATTCATCCAAGATCATAGGTTCAAAGGAAAGGAGCCAAGTAGGGTAACCAACTATCCCAGTTTTCCTAGGACTATCTAAGTGTTACCACTGAAAGTTCCATGTCCTGGGGAACCTCTTAGTCCTGAACAACAGGATTATTTACTATCCTATAGCCAGGATTAGAATCCATATACCCCAATTCTCAGCCTGATGCTAGTGCTACTGCCATATGACATCTATCTTCCAAGAAATGTTATCTGAATAATGTTTCTTCTTCTCTACACCTTAGTGCGTCAAGATATTTCTATATGCTGGGTCATCCTCCCTTCCCATTCTGCCTAGGACAGAAGCAATAGAATCTATGGTCTTCAGAGGTACTGAAGACACTGCTGGGAAAGGCAAACCATGTTGCAGCTTTATCATCTACAAAATAAAGATGATAATCCCTCTACTACTTACAGGAATGTTGTATAGCTCAAATAATAAATGTGAAAGTGCTTTCTATACTGTTAAGTGTGACATGTGAGGTATTATGGTTATTCTTTACCCACTTGGCAGAAGCCAACTCCTTGTTTTACCATTTCCTTTACCAGTTCAGTTCTTGATGTAACCACTGTGAATTTGATCAAGTTCCTTGGCCTCTGTGCCTCAGCTTCTTCATATGTAAATTAGAGCTAATAATAATCCCAGATATGGTTGTTTTGAGAATTAAATGAGATATTTCATGTAAAGCATTTTATAAGGGATCCTGGCACATGGGCAGGGCTATATAAGCATTATATGTTTGGGGTTGGCTTCCTTAGCTCCTCTAACTCAGAACCAAAGACTAGATTAAAAGAACCCAGAAACCAAATGACATGGAAGCCATTACTTACCTTTCAATTCCTTCCTACTAGCTCTCTAGTTCTTGTTTTGTACCCACAGCCTTCTGACCATGGATTGCCAAGAAAATGAGTACTGGGACCAATGGGGACGGTGTGTTACCTGCCAACAGTGTGGTCCTGGACAGGAGCTCTCCAAGGTAAGTCTCCCTAGTCCGTATACTTACTTTTGTCACATCTTAAAAACCAGCCTGACAACTAAAAGGGGGCAAGGTTAGGGGAGTCAGCCCCACCTATGAAAGATTCGATTTAACAGGTAAAATATGGGATCCAAAGAGTATATGCTGTAGTAGTCACAATTCCAGCAAGAAGTCAGCCTAGCAGGATCAGTATTGGGGAAGTTTCCAAGAAATAAAAGGGTATCTCAAGACACGATGTGGAATGCAGAGGCCCAAGAGGACTGTTCAGCATTAATCTGTCAATTAAAGCAATGCCTACCTACTTGGGGTTCAAAAGCTGGAAGCAGACATCGTCAGGTGGTTTCTGCACACTCATACCTTGTTTTATGCAATCATTCATTCATCCAGCAATTACTTACTGAACACTTGCAAAGTGGCAGGCATGGTTGTAGGCATCACAGGTATGGCAAAACAGAAATTGTTGTCCTCATGAACCTTACTTTTTAATTAGTGAAACAAAAAATAAATGAGATACATACATAGATAAATGAGAAATCTTGATATAAAAATATGACAAGAAGAAAATTAGGATGATGTGACTGGGTGGCTATTTCAGATCAGGAAATAGGGGAAGGCCTCCCTAAGGAGAAGGAGAGGATACGGCTGGGGAGAAGAGGGTACAGCTTAAGCAGAGTTCCAAGGTGAAAATGAACTAGGCATGTCAAGGAAGAGGAAGAAGGTTAGTGCAACTGGTATATGGTAAGTGAGAGGAAGAATGGTCCACAGTGAGGCCAGATAAACAGGAAGGTATGGGTCAAATCATGTGGGGGCTTTAGGTCTAGGAGAAATTTTCCTTTTTTTAAGTGCAGTAGAAACTCTTTGGAGGGTTTTGGGTAGGAGAGTGACATGATCTTGTGGCTGAGAGACAATATAGCAATTATTTAGCCCACCCTCTTCCTATCTGTTTATTTCAGAAATGAAGAGAATAAGGTCCAAGTTATATCCAAGGTATAGGATATAAGGTATACAAGCACTGACTCTAATTTTAATTCTTGACACATAACATTGTATCCCACAGTAGTGTACCTACAGGATTGATAAAGGATCTCAGGACCAAGAAAAGACCACCAGAGGTTAGGTGATACTGGATATCAGGATGGGCCCAATGGAATAAGCTGCTTGGCTTGACAAAAATTTGTTTTAAATACTATATCAGTCTTCATGAAAAGCCTTACAAATGTTCCTATCATGCATGGCCATTACCTTTAAAATCATCCATATTTATAAAGCTGAACTTCTCCAAGGGAGAAAAATAGGCCTATTTGTCAAACTGCTGTTACCAAACTCAAAAAGAAGCCCATGAAAAAAAAAAAAAAAAAAGAAGCCCATGATAATATCTACACTTGGCTCAGCACCTCTCTGACTGACATTTGCTTCTGCACCACTAGAAAGCTCACAGAAAACGAATTGCAATATCGTGCTCCTGCAAAAGTGTAATATATAAATAGTTTGTACTTGTCTACTAGCCTGTGCTTAATACAGAGCTCTCATGTGCATTATCTCATTTGGTTCTTACAACAATCCCACTAAGAAGGTATTATGAGTCCCACTTTATAGATGAGACAACTAAAGTTCAAAGAGATGTGACTTGCTGAAAGTCACAATGGTGCATTAAAAATAAATATAAGCATGTTAGAGCCAGATACACATGTGCTTGGGTCCCATCTTGGTTGTGGGCAAAGTATTTCACCTCTGAATCAATTAGAATGTACTAAGTTGAAGGTAACATGCAATTTAACAGTGACTTGAACCATAAGCACATTTATTTATGTAATGAAGAGTCTGGAGGCAGGCAGCCTTTTGGTTTGTTGGGCAGGTCAACATTGTCATCAGGGATCTTCTTTTTCATCTTCATCTTGGGCACTTTGCTGTTTTGTCCTCATGCTTGTCACTACATAGTTGCCACATTCAAAGTATCACATCTTCACAACATACTCAAAATCAGAAAGCAGGAATGGGGTCAAAATTGCTTTCCTTTTATTAAGGAGGAAGTATTTTCTCAGAAGCTTTGCAGCAGAGTTCCCCTTATGTCTTATGATCCAGAACTGGATGATGCAGCTGTCTCTAGCTAGAAGGAAGGCTGGATGTAAGTATCTGCCAGATGAGAATGGGATTGCTATGACTGACTTAGACCAATCAAGAATCTGTTCTTGAGGCTGGTCATCATGTCATCTAGAATGAAATCAATGTTATATTAGTGAGGAAGATGAAGAGCAATGATGTTTGGATAATCAGCCAGCAGCATTGGAGACAGACTTCTGTTTTTAGTTACTTTTGTTTACTTTAAAATTTCACTAATGAATTATAAACATCACTATAAATAAATAATTAAAGAAAATTGACACTATTTCCTCAGGAAGAACATAAGAGTATAATCACCAAGCTAAATAATGTATACAGTTTTAAGATTCTTGAAATATATTAGCAGATAACACTTCTGAATTTTTTTTACTAATTTCCATTAGAGTTACATTATTTTCAACAGTGTGTAGAATTCCCATATCCCAGAAGCCTGACCACAAATGAATAATGCATGTTTTCATTGTATGTTAATTTTATTTCTTCCTTTGTAATATTAAATTACTAATTCATGAGGACTTTATGAGGATTTTGTATTTACTTTTTTCTATTTGATAGGGAAAATATACCAACTTTTTTCTGTTTATGGGTCCATTTGCATTTCTAATTTTGTGCATTATTTCTGTTTGCTTCTTTTTCTGAATATTCATTGTTTATTGTTCATTCTCCACTTATATTACATACCTGAGGAGATAGACATATAGCAGAATACAGAGTATTTTTTAAATCATTCATATATATATGTGTGTGTGTATATATATATATATATATACATACACATATTTTAAAATCCACCTGGGTATGGTAGCTCACGCCTGTAATCCTAGCATTCTAGGAGGCCAAGGCAGGAACATTCTTTGAGGCCAGGAGTTTGAGACCAGCCTAGGCAACATAGCGAGACTACATCTCAATCAATCAATCAATGAATCAATAAAATCAATTAACTGAGTGTGGTGGTATATGCCTGTAATCCCAGTACTTGGGAGTCTGAGGTGGGAGGATCACTTGAGCCCTGGTGTTAGAGGTTGCAGTGAGCTTTGATCATGCCACTACATTCCAGCCTGGGTGACAGAATGAGACTCTGTCTCTAAAAAAAAATGGTTTTGAATTTTGTTTCATTTTATCATCACCTATAGAGTTTTTCATGTATTTTCCCTTTTACATATTATTTTGATGACATATTAATTAAAATATCATGCATTCCCAGCATAAGTCATTCTTTTTTATTTTTTAGACAGAGTCTCACTTTGTTGCCCAGGCTAGAGTGAGTGCCAGGGGGTCAGCCTAGCTCACAGAAACCTCAATCTCCTGGGCGCAAGTGATCCTACTGCCTCAGCCTCCCGAGTAGCTGGGACTACAGGCATGCGCCACCATGCCCGGCTAATTTTTTGTATATATATTTTTAGTTGGTCAGTTAATTTCTTTCTATTTTTAGTAGAGATGGGGTCTCGATCAGGGTGGTTTCGAACTCCTGACCTTGAGCAATCCACCTGCCTTGGCCCTCCCAGAGTGCTAGGATTACAGGCGTGAGCCACCACACCTGGCCTCATAAATCATTCTTTTTTTTTTTTTCTTTTTATGATGATGATGATCATCATCAAAGACATCATCTAAGTTTAATGGCAGAGAATGACTTTGCATGCCAGGGACTGACAATGTTACCGACAGTTATTTCTTTCCAACTATACTACTTCAACGCCAAGGAAAATGTCACTTTTGTAAGATCATAAATGTGGCTTATTGGGAGAGTGGATACATTGAGGTCTGCCATTTAATTTGATAACAGCACGTCCTCAGCAATGCTTTGAGATAAAGTCACTCAAGAGCAATTTCTTGTGAGTACTTTCCCAAGTGTTTCCTGAATCGCTTTGTTCCAAAATGACATCGATTTGTCTGAGGCATCTTTTGAAGAAAAAGGATTAATTCACCAAGTGGAAAGACTGTGCATGTAAAACTGCTCTTCAGCACCGACCGGTGCAGCTGGGTGGCACTCCCTGGCACCATTCCTCTTTTGCCCCAGATGAGCTCAGGAAAGAGACACCTCACCCAGCTGTGGGAGGAGAAAGGGAGGCAACCTTCCTTCCCTCCAGTTAACTGTGCAGTCACAACAAAGGCTTGGCTGGATAGTTGCCCTCTGATGGGAGCACAGCTCTGAAATGGCGTTGGAAGCCCTCCAGAGAATGAGATGTTGCATCCAAGAACTTATAGTCATCTTTACTTACAAGACACACCTGCACATCCTCCGTGTCATTTCTGAGATTACAATGATAACCAAATTCATGAATATTCCTGTGTGCCTTTGTTTGGACGTACACATAATGCATTTTACCTACCTGGAATCATGTTTAAATCAGAAGGAATAAAGCTATGAGACACTGGAGAATAGTGACTCCTCTTTTTTCATCTCTCTGCCTTAGGATCAGAAAGGCTTGAGTTCAAACCCAGACTCTGACACTTATCCCTAGTTGGAAAGCCTTCAACATGTCCCTTAATCTCCTAAGGTTTGTCTTTCTCAACTGCAAAATAGAGATGGAATTAACTCCTCACTGTGCTGTTCTGAGGACTGGATGAAGTAACATACAGGGAGCGCTCAGCGCAGCGTCCGCTACCTTAGCAGGAGCCCAGGTCACGGTGGTTGTTGTGGCAGTCACCAGAGGTGATGCTGTATGAGGTAGCAGGAGTTGCAGGAGTGACTTAGCATCCGGCACAAGGCATGGAACACCGAGGAGGCTCAGTAAATGTTGAACTTACGGCTGAGCATATACATGAATAAGTGCACCTGCTAATCCTCTTCATAGTCCAGGAAAAAGTACTTAATTTAAAAATGCTTCATTGCTAAAAAAAAAAAAATTATAGCAATTATCTGAGTCTTTGGCAAGTCA